CCCAGTAAGCCAGGCTGATTGCTACGTGTCGTTGTGGCTGCCGACTGCGACATGTGAAAAGTCCCGCACTAAAACCATAAGAAACTCCAACAATCCAGTGTGGAATGAAACTTTCTACTTCAGGATCCAGAGTCAGGTCAAGGTAAGGAGCCAAAGTTGTCTGCTTGAAGCTACCTGAAGATTTTGTGTATGGTGGGCCCTATCTATCTCCTGAACTCTGTCCAGGAATTGTTTAAGAGATGGCATAATAATAATAATTAATAAGGGACTGTTCAAATTGTTTAACAGCAGAGGTGAGTGAGTTCCTGTGCCTGTTCAATGGTCCCCTTAGGAGGGCCAGAAACTAAGCTCAGTAGACATTTTAGGGAAACTAGAGACTTCATAAGAATCAGTGCAAGACGAATACAGAATCTGGGAGTAAACCAAGCTGTTGTGTAGGTATAGCCAATGTATTACTCATGTTAGAGCAATTAAACTGAACTAGGGAAGAATGAATATTCGATTTATAGGATGTTTTTCCAAAGGGTGATGATACTTAATTTCTCTACTTTTCTTATCAAGCATGTTCCCAACACTCCTTCCCTAGAGCTAATGATACCCAGACTGTAGAAACTATAAAACTCCTTCTTTTTCCAGAATGTGCTGGAGCTGACAGTGTATGATGAGGATTTTGCTACTCCAGATGACCATCTCCTCTGTGCACTCTTTGATACCGCTAAGCTACCAATTGAAAGAACAGTGCTCCTGTATTTTAAGCCCAGCCCAAAGGTGAGAGAAAAAAATAAAGCAACTAAGAAACCAGTGGAGAGTTACACAACACTTTCAAAATCTTGGGGTGAACTTTCTGAATCCGCCATGGATGACTTATCCCGATAATGGGTACATGAATTGCCATTCAAAATATAAACACAAAAAATGTGGTAAAAAGTCTGGTTGCCATTCAAAATATAAACACAAAAAATGTGGTAAAAAGTCTGGGTTTCAGAGCCTGAGCCCCTCTTCCCAGTATTTTTATAAATTATTGAAGAGCATACGACTGAAACAGTGCAGTAGATAGGGGAAGGATCTGACTGTGAGCTATCTCTGAGCAACAGCAAGGCTGCACAGCTGTTGCAAGGTGAATTTCTGGCCTGTATCAGAAATAGTGTGGCCAGCAGGAGTAGGGAAGTGATCGTGCCCCTGTACTCGGCACTGGTGAGGCCGCACCTCGAATACTGTGTTCAGTTTTGGGCCCCTCACTACAAGAAGGATGTTGAGGTGCTCGAGCATGTCCAAAGAAGGGCAACGAAGCTGGTGAGGGGTCTGGAGCACAAGTCTTATGAAGAGCAGCTGAGGGAACTGGGGTTGTTTAGTCTGGAGAAGAGGAGGCTGAGGGGAGACCTTATCGCTCTCTACAACTACCTGAAAGGTGGTTGTGGTGAGGTGGGTGTTGGTCTCTTCTCCCAAGTCACTAGCGACGGAACAAGAGGAAACGGCCTCAAGTTGCACCAGGGGAGGTTTAGACTGGATATTAGGAAAAATGTCTTTACTGCGAGAGTGGTCAAGCATTGGAACAGGCTGCCCAGGGAAGTGATAGAGTCACCATCACTGGAAGTATTCAAAAAACGTGTGGACATGGCACTTTAGGACATGGTTTAGTGGGCATGGTGGTGTTGGGTTGATGGTTGGACTTGATGATCTTAAAGGTCTTTTCCAACCTTAATGATTCTGTGATTCTGTGATATGTAAATTTTTTCCCCATGTAATTCATAGCCACTACCCCCTGCCCTTTGACTGTATTTAGTTTCATCCTAAAGGCAAAGATGAAGTTGCCCCTGTGTGTACCCCAGCCCTGTCCTGTGCAGTGATACCTCAGCTAGGGCTGACCCTGCTAACTCGTCTATTGGAATTAGTGTGGTTTTGGACCTCTGAATGACTGACTTACTCTGTTTCTCTGTTTCTTATTTATAAAATGGGAAAAAGAGTCTTGATTCCCGGTTCCCTTTGAGATCTATGGGTGAGATCAGTAAAATATCTCACATGGAACTTCTTCCTACCGTGGGTATATTGCTTCTGGTACCCAAACTAGGTCACTCACAACTAGCTCATACATATCAATGCTGCTTTACAGGGGGTTGCATAACTGTAATTCTGAAACACTCAATAATACCAGTCTCCGTTTATTATGTTAAAGCGGTGGGTGGAAAGTATCTTTAACTTCCAAGCTAATAGCAAGGACAGTAAGTCATGGCAGGTCAGTGCTGGGAATAGTTAGGAGAAAAAGGTAGAATTCAGAAGAGTAAGCAAGTTGCAAATTGTCTTTCTGCAGCAGCTTCACACTAAGATAGGAGTGCAGGTTGTTTTGATGATACTTTAAAGAAAGAAAGAGGTGCGGAAGTAATTGTTAAGCTATCTGGTTTGAAATGTTGTTTCAGACCTCCCAGTCTGAAATAATCTATCACAGGCTGTTGCATTGCAACCAATTACTTCAGTATTGCGTTCCAGGGACATGGGTTTAGACAAGGAGAAAGCATTATGTGGCTACTTCATTTAATTTCTTGCTCTTGCTTTCAGGCCAAGGAGGAGCTAGAGGTTGAATTCAAGTTGGAGGTTGCGTAAGTGATACACAGTTTATTTAAAAAATCATTAAACGCTAAAACAAAGAAATAACATTAGAAGTCACGCTTTGTGGGATTTCTGTAAAAAAGTGCCAGACTTCTCCTACATCATTACTGCAGTCTCAGGCATCCAGCTGATCCCTCCAGTCAGCTTGTTCTGTAGTTTAGTTGCTTTCAAAGATGCACCTCCCAGCATCATCTCTTCTATCCACAATGTCAGATTTGTCTACCTGGGGACATTCCAGAAGACTTTCTGAGTGTGTGTGCATGCGTTTGTGTGCACGCATGTCTATCACTCTTTGCATGCTTGTTTCAGCCTATGCATTGGACAGACTCCTAATGTTGCACCATCCTGGTCAGGTTTCCAGTGTATCGCTGACTCCTTTAGTTTTACCCTGCAGCACTGCTTTGGTCCTAGTAATTCTCTTTTCTTTCTGGCCAACACAATGCAAATGTGTTGGAAGGTCTAGCGCAGGGCTTTTCCTCCAGCATGGTCAGCCTGCCATCCATATGAATCAGTATTTTTGTCTCCGTGTTGCCACAAGGTAACGAAGGCAAGGCAGGAATAAAGTGACCAGCCTAAGGTCAGCCCACGTACTAGTTGGGGGGCCGATACCAGGGTTCAAGTCACTCCACAGCATCTCCTGACTTCACCTGAATGATCTGGAAAGCTTTTTTTCCCCCATGTAACTGGTACCCGCTGCCCTGTGCCCCTTTGTATTTGCATACCAGCAAATAGATAGAACTGGACTTCCCGATGGCGATATGCTGGCATAGTAGCATGTTACCGCTGCGACACATGTACTTTACATGCTACAGTGAGGAGAAGATTTTGACTGCCTAGCCACAGATTCCATTTCAGATGATCAAGAGATTGCACTGCAAAAAAAGTATCCACGATACACATCGCTCAGCTTTGGTACGGAGGCAAGTCCCCTCGGAGCAGTGCTCAGTCCAAGCAAGCATGGCCGGGAGCTTGTTACATAACTGCTGGGGTCCCTCTGGCCATCATTCTTCTAAGTGGGGAGAAAGGGCAACACCCTGGGAAAGGATGAACGGGCATTTGTTTGTTCTAAAAAAATCCATGTTTTTCATTTTGTTTCCCAGTTCTGGTCCTCATGAAGCCATTGCTACCAATGGAGTCCTGGTGGTATGTGTCATTTTCCCAAGAAATTTTCTATAAGTTTCCTTAACATAAAGGATAAGGAGGGTGGGGGCTAGAGAAGCCAGCAGGCCAGTTCTTTCTCTTTCTTCCCTCTTTCCTGTTTAGATACTTTGAGAATGGGATATTTTATTGCCCTGTTCTTTGGTGATATCCCATTATTTCCCATTTGTCCTATATTTCGACACAACACACACACAGAGACAACGTTCCTCTGGTACCAGTACTCCTTCAAAAAATGCACTGCTGTCTATCAAAGCACAATGGCAAAAAGACTGAAACCACTTGCTGATAACCTGCCCAGTCCTTTTCTCCACTGGGAGATGAGCCATTCCTGGCGGGTAAGCTCAGCACTAAGTATTGACCTTATCCTAACTATATTATGTGAAAGAAGAGTGAGTGCCATTAAAAAAAACACCCAAAATGCTAATAGCAATGCTTCTTCAGAAAACCCTTTCTACTACTGACTCTTGATCTCTCAGCAATGTATCTTTCATTTACGTTTTTCCCAGTTTAACCCTTTGTGTCTATGCTACTATCAATGAAAATGCTCCTGATTTTCTTCCTTTGTATCTTCCTCTTACTGTGCCGAATCGATTGTCATTGTCACTGGAAGATGCTCTACAACTCCCTTCAAAGCTTTTCCTTTTTCTTAGTCAGTGGCTACTGGGCAAAAGCCCAGAAATGCCAGGGAATTAGGTACTTCAGTAACTAGACATGTCCAAAAGCCGAGTGATTCACAGTTCCCTGTAACAAGGTTGGGATGTGACGACCTTTCGAACAGATTCCTGTTCTCTTTTACAGTGTCGTGAACTTTGCTGCTTGGAAGTTGAAGTGGCAGAGAAGATGCAGCAAAAATCAAGTACGCTTGTTGCTTTGTTATCTATTTACCAATAATTGCAGGCTTACTGATGAGAGAATGCCCCTTTCATATAACGTGTTAGTGGAATAAATAGTATTCACAGTATTCAGTGTAGTTCACACCAGGTAAACACATTAGGTTGTTATAGACTTTAATGACTGCAGCTCATACTCTCTTAGGTATGTGTAAATAAGGTCTGTTAGACCTGCATTAAAGTTGAAATCCCAGTTCTATATAACAGCAAGAACATTCAGAGTCCCCTTTCTATGAAAATATCATTCGCTTTGCTCCTTCCCCTTTGCTGCCAGTGCTCTCTTCAGAGTGTTTTCTGCTAGACAAAGCTGTGGTCCAAACTCTACAGCTCTGCTGTCTGCACCCCACTTTTAATCAAGCCAGAACAATTATCTGGTTAAATCATAGTGACATTTCTCATGACCTTTTTTTTGCCTTTTTAGAGAAAGAGCTTTCCCTCACTGTGAAGGGCTCCTTTGAGGGGACGCGGGATATCACGCTGGGCCCCGACGGAGTGGCCAGCCCATCAGGTCCCACCAAGTTCCACTATATCAAGTACGCAGAGCCAACATTGGACGTCATGATGCCAAAGAAGAGGCACTACCACCCTGTATGTTGGAAGTGGTCTTAATGATGAACTGGCCATGAGCGCCTCTCTAGAAAGCGGGAGGAGGGGGCGAGGGTAAACCCATTACTGTTTTTGTCCTAAACCATGTTGTTTTCCCAGTGGACCTGTAAGTACAGTACGGAGACGGGCTCCCCGGTTGTGATGCTGAATTCACTGCCCATGGGAAGGAAAATGACCATTGCAGAGGTGAGCATCACCTCCAGCTGTTAGGAATAAAAGGTCGCTCAGGTAGAAACCATTCCCCGTAATGTTGTCCCAAATGGCTGCTAAGAGGGTAAGAAATGTTCTGATTTTTTCTCAGACCTTGAGCTTTGTTTCGCCAGCTGTTTTCTCCACAGAAGCAGGTTGTGCCTCCATTATGTCTATCCTAATGTCTCTATTATGTGCCAGTAGTGGATACAGAGAGCAATAAGGATATCAGAAAACATGATGATTCCTTCAGTACATCTTCCCCTGTTTACCCAAAGACTCACTGACCCCTCCTTTGCTTAGGGTCCAAATTCCCTGAAAATTGTTCCTTGGACACAAGCTAGAAAAAATCAATAAATCTGCCCCTAGTAAACCATGTGTTTTGAAGCACAACATATTAAAATATATTGAAAAATTAGACATAGCATATGAATTTTAAAGGATATTGCTTGAAATAGATGTATGTGCTGTATAATTTTGAATTAAATTAATAGAAGAAAAAGATCCTTACTATAAAAAAGTGTTTCTGCTAAGAAACATCTACAGATGTCCAGATTGTTAGGGACAATCTTGTCCAAATATTAGTTGTCATGTTGAGAAGAAGTAGGAGAACATCAGATTTCAGGGCCATTAAAACATCTTCTCAGAACAGAGCACTTCTTGCCAGTTAATATGAAGGTTGCAATAATGATTTTAAGACAGGATAAAGTCTTGGCAGAAGCAAATGCAGACTTGCTGTCTCTTCACGGGTCAGGATATCAAAGATCTGCTGTGTATCAGAGCGTAAAGAACGGGAAGTGTACAAAAAGTGGTATTCCAGGATGCTGCAGAAAGCTTGTGAATAACACGGGAAATGGGACCTATTGCGTGAGTCTTGGGAACCTCCTATACCAAGACTGTTAATGGTTTCTGTAGCCTGGAAGATTTTGGGATCTGTGGGTAGGGATGTTACACTAAAGATAAGTGAATGCTTTTAGAAATATATGCCGAGATCTCCGGCATTTAACTTTGTGACTGCCAGACTTTGCTGGGGTCTAAATGAAGCTCTGACCCCAGACAAAAAGAGAAAAAAGAAATTTTAAAATGAAAATTAAAAAATTACAGTACACATTCTTATTTTTCAGGAGAAAAGATTTGACTTGAATGTGAGAGCACAAAACTGGTAAGAGATCTTCTCCTATTCCTAAAGACTTGGGTTATTGATTTTTATATTGTTTTAGCCACATGAAAATGACATAAGCAGGCATTCTGAGTCTGAAAACTGGAACATGCTTTTAATAAAACATAAAATATGTGCACAGTATATTATACATAATTAGCCTTAGGAAGATTTGTCTTTAATCATCAAATGTTGGTTAACATATTAATTTTAACATTATCCCTTCCCTTCTGACCACAGATTATTATTTTTGATCAATGTCAGTCTCTGAAATTCACAAAAAGAACAAAGCTGACTAAAAAAAACAGAATAGACAGGACTAAACATTAAACTTGACCAGAAATTATGAATATTTTTTTCTTAACTATCGATATTCAGTAGCAATAAACTTTGTGTTCTGTAAAGTCCAGCTATACTGTATACTGAGTAGAAACTAATGTAGACAATGTGGCTAGTGACTTGATATCTATAGAAATGCTCATTAATACTCATCAGTAAACATGAAGATGTTTCACGTTATCCATAGTTATATGTAACACACAGAACTGGGCAAAATGATCTTTTTGTGTGTGTGCCTGACTAGGAAACAAAAGGGAAAAATAACTTAATTTTTAATTCAAACAGAGTTTCATAGCATACATTTCAGAAAGGCAAGTGATCAATGACAACAGGAAAACCAATGTTATTCCAGGACAGGAAAAATCCTTCCTGATTATTTATTTTACTTTCAGAGAACTTTAAAAGTAATTTGTTTGTATCTTGATCTACAATGGAAACTGGCTTGTGCAACTCCACCTAACTCAATTCCGCTTGTGTGTCTTCATTTACAAATACAGTTGTAATCATTTGGCTGACTTTATCCAAATCTGATGGTGGAGAAATCTCAAAAATATATTTCACTAGTAGTTTCACAGAAATTATGGACTCAGTAGAAGAGAGAATTTCTGTCACTGAAAGAAAAAGCAAAACCCTACCATTTTACAATGCTTGGCTGGGGCTAGCTGGCCAGCCAGGGATTCCACAGGTAGCTTTGGCCTGAAGACACCATGCCAGATCTCTTGCCCATTGATGCCTTGTAAGCACAGGGCATGAAGAGACAGTAGGCAGGTTAGTGAGCAGAAGAGCACAAATGCCCAGGGAAATAAGCTACAACAGTGGACTTTTAAGGAATGACTTCTTCAATTTCAAAATTTATGCAAATAAAATCTTCCTCTGAGGAATATTATGCTTTACAATTTTTGAGTCAAGGTTGGTGTGAAATACAACTGCCAGCGTTGATCTGTGAGGCAGCTTGTGCAAGTGCGAACACATCAGAGCAGCGGGGCTGAAATCCAGCCCCACTAAACTCAGTGACCCATCTCCATCCACCCAGGGGCTGGATGTCACCCAGGTCATCCCCCACAGCGAGCAGGGTTTCATGGCCACCCGTGCCTGGCAGGCGAGTGGATGGGTTTTCTCTACAGCGATGCTCACCGCTAGAGGGGGATGCGTTCCCACTCGAGTTGCTCAAAACGAGACTTTCTTTCACGTTGGAAATGCCAGCATTTCAAAACTGGGAATCAATACACTCACTTTTGACCATTTGCACAGATTTTCTAAACTTGTAATTATTTTAGTTTTAGAATATTAATTTAAATATTTTGTTTCATTTGTAAGCACTGTACATTGTTTCTTCATCTGTTAGTAATAATGGGTTATAATGCCACTGGTTAAGCTTATTAATTGAAATAAGTTTTCTTATTTTAAAAATAATTAGAATATTCTCTCTTGCTTCTGTCACATTGCATCACTCTGTTTGAAGGGAAGGATGCTGTAGATTATCTTTGATCGAAGTCCTAATATTGTTATAGCTGTGCTAATATGTAAAATATGTGCCTGTTTTTATCTTAGTAATTGTTCGTGCCATCAAGACCTCGACATGCGCTTTGGGTTTGACTTATGTTCAGAGGAGATGACCTTCCTGGGGAAAAGAAAGAAATATGTAGCAAGTGCCCTGAAAAATGTTTTTCACCTACAACAAGATCTGCAGGATCATGAAGTATGTGTGTGTTAGGAGGGCGTTAGATTTTGAATTTCTAGTGCCTTCATGTACTCTTCTAGACGAGCAGTCAGCAAAATGGGCCACATCTATCTGTTGTGTGGGTACCAGCTTATCCATGTGTCTTAAGTACCTTTGCTTCTGCTGCCAAGGTTTGTTATTGCAAGAAACTCTAGTTGCAGTAATTGCATCCTTCATGACTGTCAATTTGGAATTTGTCAGATTTGAGGTGTGTTCATCCTTGCCATCCTATGCTATAACTGGCTTGGTTCAGAAATATTGTGTGCGTATTAAATACGTCACATAGGAAAAATTTCTTCCCTTGTTCAAATTTCATCATTTTGAGAGAGTTTAGGATAAACATCTCTGAGTGCTTCTTATAATATCTTCCCTTTCTTGCAGTTTTGAAATAACTTAAAATGAATATGATCTATTTTAAAGTAGCTTCACAATATTGAAGAATAACAGCATTGATGACGGTAGCTTAGCAACACTGGCTATGAATTGAGTGTATTTCTTCATGTGGTTGGCAATATGGATTTTCATACAGTAGTAGCAGATGTGTGAAATAAGAAAAAAGTGGCAAAGGAGTGGGAAATGTAGAGAAAATACATTGTTGCCTCCACAGAAGGGTTTCTTCTTGTTCATCTGTCCCCCTATTTGCCCTAGAGATGGGCAAGAACCCAGGTTTGGGTTAATCTCTGAACCCATGTTTATCCAAAGAGAAGCAGCAGTACCAGTCATTGCTTGGTTTCAGAGCCTTTCCTTCCAAAGAGGGACAAGGACTCTAAGATCAGGATCTGGGCTGGGTGCGGTGGCCAGACCCCGTTGCAGTCTGGGATGCCATGTTGAACGTTGTCGGTGTGAGTGTCCCATCCTCCTCTGCCCAATAGGTCCCCGTTGTGGCCATCATCACGACAGGCGGAGGACTGAAGTCAATGACAGGACTATATGGCAGCCTCATGGGACTCAAGAAATTAAATCTCCTGGACTGTGTGACATACATCAGCGGGCTCTCCGGCACCACATGGTAAGCTGCTTACGCAGGGGGCTTGGCCAGGCCTTTTGAGGGTGACGCTGCTGCAGAGAGGAGCTTCTGGAAGCAGACAAGATCAGGACATTTTCTTCAAACATCATAGAAACAGGCTGTTTCTCAGTAACAGGCCATTAGGTATTAGCTTGATCTGATGTACCGATTTTTTATTAGCAGTTACTTACTGTGCTTTTCACCTCCACATTTGCAGCAGTTAAATATGTATATGACAACTTCACTTGTCAAAATGGTTTCTAAGTAGTTACTGTGGATCTAACTGTGGATGCTCGTAGCATCACGCCTCTTCCTCTCCGCTGACGTCCCAGTTGTTGCTTCCAGTAACTTCTGAGACTGGCTCTGCTTTCGAATTGGTCACGCAAAGAAAACAGCAGGACAGTGCATGCTTACCCCTGCAACCTGTCAGTTTGGGAAAGGACTGAGTTCCTCTAGGCTGTGTTATTCCCTGCTCACAGGGGATACAACTACTATTAACTACAACTACCAAACATCTGATGGTCCCACATAGGGAGGGTTGGTAAAATAGAGGATGGTGTTAAAATAAAGCATGGTGATATCAAAAGACTAACACTAAGTGATACAAAGCCAAGCGACAGCACCTGGTGTGAACTGACTTATGGTGCTAGAAAACAAGCAAAGAAAATTTATCATAATTTTGTGCCTAATCTGTGCTTCAGAAATGTACCTATGTTCACACCTGGCAATTTTATCCCTTAAATTGCTGCCAGTCCTGCTTAAAAAAAAGAGATCGAGAACATAAAAAAACCCCTTATCCTTCAGGCCATCTTTAAAACAGTCATAGAAACTCTGGAGTGTTCATTCTGCTGAATGGAGCAGCAAAACCAGAGTATGTATGAACAGAAGTGAATCCCTAAATGTAAACCTCTGTCCCCAAAGGCACAAAATTTCAAGTCTTTTTTTCTCCTTTTGACTTTTTCTGTCTGTATTATCTTTCTCCAGGACCATGGCCAACTTATACAGAGATGCCTATTGGTCACAGAAGGACCTAGACTCACATATTGGTGAAGCCCAGAAACAAGCAACCAAATGCAAGATGGGCTGTTTCTCTATGGATCGCATGAAGTACTACAACAAGCAGCTTTGTCAGCGGAAAGAAGAGGGATACAGGACATCATTTATAGATCTTTGGGGGCTCATGATTGAGTACTTACTAAATGATGGGGTATGATGTACATTCCATTTCTTAGAGAACCATGTATTTGTCTCGTAGTGAATGGAGAGGAAACAAGCCCATCATTTCAGAGAACGTACCTCAAAACAGAGTGGAGTTCTCCATGTCAACAAATGCTCAGATTATTTTATTTCCTTTAATAGTCCGCCTAGGGAGAAACGCATCCTATATGTTAATAAATTAGGTCGTGGATGCAGCCATTTGAACTCTGGCTGCATTTAAATAGAAGTGGAGGCAATCTCGGGCAGTCTGCCTAAGTTGTAGATGACGCATGCAAAAAGAGTTCAAGATGCAAAGCAAAGTAATCTCAACAGTGTGAAAACCATCCAAAGCAAGCATGAAACAGCTAGAGTGCTTGGTGATTTGCATCCACTGGCAGGTTAACTTGATCTGCAAGTAGGCTGGAGGCAAGTGCATACTTTACTTTTGATGAGAACGACTGCTCAGACAGTAGCTGGTTTAAGTGATATTAATTTTTACAAGCAATAACAAAACTGCATTTCTATAATTTGAAGTGGTTTCTACCGTACAGCAGTCCACTCCCTCTTCTCTCCAGCTGGACCACAGTTCAAGGATGTGTGCTTTAGCACTTGGGAAGTGGGAAGGGATGAGTGGTTGAGGATTGAACAGAAGTGTCCTCCAGTGGGGGCTGAAATGCTGCAGTCAGTCAACCATTCATTAATTTTATTCATTTATTTTTATATAAGTACATATATAGTATTATATATATGTAAACCAAAAATAAATACATAAAGAGAGGAATGCCACATATTAAACGGTATGAGCTGAATAGCTGTACCTCTTTTAATCTCAGCTGGATGAGGTCCCCCTCACAATCCAGCCAAGCATCTTTCCCTTGGAGCAGTGCTGACTGTTGCTATGTAACCATTAACCTCTCCCTAATCTGCCAGGAGTAGCTGCTCTTAAATTTGTCAGCAGTTCATGAGATTATATGTTTTTTACAAAACTCTTCAATGAGAATATGCTTTTCCAGCAAAGAAGCTGGGTGGGATGCAAATAATTCGCCACCAAATTCCAGTCCCCTTGCAAGGCTGGACTGCGATAGCTGTTGTGTACTAAGAAAGGAAACTCAATGCCAACACGCTCAAGGGCTTCCTTCAGCCCTGGGAGAGCAAGGACTGCCCACAACACTCCTCATCCTACGGGGCAGCTTGCCCCTTCTCCCACTCGCCAGGGCAGCACTTTCTAGTACGTACAGACATGTATGCAGAAGTCGTTTTCCCTCTCTTTGTCTTTTTGTGAGCCTGTGCACAAAGTCAGGCCAGACCCTGGTTGGTGGGAGCCTGCAGTGCTCTGTGCCATGGGGCTGCCATGGCACCTCCTGCGTGCTGGAGGAAGAGCTGCCCAAGCTCCTCCAGCGCTGGGGCCATCGAGTTCACCGTGCGTCGTTTCCATCTCTTCTCACATAAGTGTTTTTCTTCAAAACCAGAAAGACCCCCACAAACTTTCACAACAGCAAGAAGCACTGTGTGATGGCCAGAACCCACTGCCCATCTACGTGGCAGTCAGCGTCCGGGACAACTACAGCACCAATGATTTCAAAGGTAAGGATGATGTTTCAGATCCTATGGGGCTAAAACTGGCAACTGGATTCCTGTGATTCGCTTAGAGAAAATAGTCTTACTGTGTTAGTTGTTTTTTGGAGAAATAACCATCACCTCTATGCCTTACAATTTTAATACAAGAGCTTTTTGAGATCAACATTTCACTGTCTAGACATCCAGAGTTGAAATCCTGCCAGAAAGGCCATTTTTGAAATATTATCTGATCCACCTAGAATAAGAAGTATTGGAACTGTCTGAGGATTAAATACTGCTTTTTGTCAATGCCCAGTTATAGTTTCAATATGAAGAAAGACCACATAGTTATGATAAAGTTTGTGAAAGCATCCAACCTATTCCCAACTGAATCTTTTGCTTTGCTCCTTGTTTTGGTTATTTTTTTCCATGAGGAGAAGCAGCTGGAGGAGGAGAAGAGGTGGAGAAGAAATTCAGATCAAAATTTTTATATTTGAGGTGAAAAAATGAACCACTCCTGAATGAAAAGGAAATAAAGGTCCATGACCTTTCTGTCCCAGACTTTGCTCACACTGCAGTTCTATCAGACAACTGCACTTCACTTGGAGAGGATATTCGAGAAAGTCAAGTTCTATCTTCCTTAGTACCACACGTAAAAGAGGATAATTGGCCTCTTACAAAAAACTAATTTCTGAAGGGCAGAGTACCCATCTTTGTACATAACCAAATTATTCAAGGGAAGTTAAATTCTCCGCGTCGATAACAGTGGAAGAGCTTTCACCTAGACGTGGTGCGTGGCAAGGGCACAGCGAAACCTCACGCAGGCTGGAGCGCCCAGGACGGGCGCGTGCACATGGGCTGCGCAGGAGCTGGAGCCTTGTACCGCCGGCACGGTGCCACCGCCACCGGCATGGTGCCACTGCCACCGGCACGGCTACGCGAGCTGCGTAACCCCTGCCTCCCCGCTGCCACGGTGCCCGAGTTCGGCTGCCCAGCCTTGCGGGCGGTCGTTTACCTAAGCAAGGCTTTGCCAAGGCAGCCACAGCAGGCTGGGAGCCCTCTAAGTGCCCCTTTCCGGCTGTCTTGCAGAGTGGGTGGAATTCACACCCTACGAGGTGGGACTTCTGAAGTACGGCGCGTTCATTCGCACGGAGCATTTCGGGAGCGAGTTCTTCATGGGACGCCTGTTGAAGAGGCTCCCCGAATCCCGGATCTGCTACCTTCAAGGTGATGTATGATGTTGTCAGGGCATGGAGGCACTTCGGAGGAGTGCAACACTCTTAACCAGAGGGTGGATATTTCTGGTCTAACGTGCTGAACGCTGCTGTGTTATTGCCTGCCGATAAATGGGGTGTGTGGGGGGTGGTAGCTCGTCCGAAATACCGTAAAAAAATCCCACATCTTTTTTCAGTTTCTTGTCACTGTCTTGTTATGCACAAGCTTTTTAGCACTGTATCTTATAGATGGAATAGACAAAGCTCCTTAATTCTTTCATTGTAAGGAACAGTTCCCACTCCTTTTGTTATTCTTCCGATTCCTCTCTGAATGCACTCCAACTTACGAAAATTTTGAGACAGCAGGAAACCCGCCGCTGTGCCTCCACTGTGAGGTTTAACTGCAATTCCATGCAGAGAATCCCATCTACTAAAGATGCAGGCTGCCCAGGATGAAAAATGGGACCAGAAGCAAAGGGTATCTGAATCTCCCTGATCAGTCCCTGACCTGTATTAATGGGTTGTGTGTAAAAGTAGTAAAATCCTTTTACCAAGGAGTCAGAATCACTGGTGAGTTCAGTTTCAGTCATCTCCTCTTACACTCACGCTGCTTAGAAGCTCCTGGGTTTCAGTAAACATGCTGTGATATTAAATAACCCGAGTATCTTTAAAATACCACCTCTTGGGCTGGCCGTTTTTACCTGGTCCGCTACTGGGAAAGTAATTTTCTACATATAGTGTAGGCTGTACTTATTTCTGTGCCCCACTGAAAATTAGTAAGTCTCATTGTGGTAGACTAAATATTAGTCTTTAATGAGTCTTTAAATATTTAAATGTTTACATTTACAACGGCAGGTGGAATGGTGGCACTGCGTTTAGCCAACAAAGCCACCCGTGCCCCCGGTGCGGAGGCAGAGAAAAGAGCGCGCAGGGCAGCAGGAGCCGGCTGCACCTGTGAGCCTTTACGCGCCGCGGTGCTAGACCTTCTCTTGCAAACCAAACGGCTGAAGAGCCAGTTCATCTCCCTGCGAAAAAATGCAGGGTGCATGAAAGCTGACCAGAGTGTGTGCAGAATGAGAGAAGCTGGAGTTCTTACTCCAGACAGGGGTGGAAAGGACGTTTTTGTGATGTCTGCATTATCTGAGCTCTTATTCCACTTCTCGAGCGAGTGTTTTTTTCTCCTTTACTTCTTTCCCTTTCTTTTCTCTCTCTACTGTGCGGCAGAGCCATGCGGTAGATCAGGCGCAGAACTGGTGGCGGCATGACCTGAACCAATGCCATAGCAAGTTAAGAAGAATTTAACAGTCCAAAAGTTTAGAAATATTTGAATTAAGCCCGTTCAAAAACTAATCCAGGAGGTCAAAATAGAAGGAAAAAAGGCAGTTTCTTGTAACATGACCTTGTGCTCACTAATTCCTTTTACAGGTATGTGGAGCAGTATATTTTCTGTGAACCTGTTACAAATATGGGGACTGTCCCACAGTTCAGAGGACTTCTGGAAGAGATGGACACAGGACAGAATAGAAGAAGTTGGTGAGAGCTTTTAATTTATGGTCACTTACTCTTCTGGATGCCTTTGGCATCGCCCTGTCAAGTGCATTGAAGCCAGCATCACAAGATCCTCCTAAGAGATAGCGACTTCCCTTCCCACTGTAAAGACTAAGGGGAAGAGGATGATCAGGGAAATGCTGCTATAATTACTAATTACTTACTAAAACCCTACTGATTAAAAGGCTCTGTCCTTAAGAGGAAGTTTTAGAGGGGTCATGCATTTCTCAGGATGTGTTTTGGCATTGCCCATTCTCATTCAGCCATACAGAACCAAGCACCAGTGGCAGAGAATAAAGTTATTTTTAGTACCTGTGCAGATAATAAACCTGAATATAAATTGGTTAATCAATATTTCCTGGGTTTTTATTTTATTACTCAGTAGAGTAATTACTGCATTGGATTCATCCTGGCACAAAGATAAATGAGGCCCAGAGGGTATTTTCTGAAGCAATACAGAAACCATGGTTTTATTGCTAAATCATTTAATATGATAGTACGTATAATTACAGACATCTTAAAAATAAAGAAATACATCTGTGCAATCACGGAAACCACCAAGTCTCTCCTGCTGCACCATCAGCCACTTGGTCCGGCAAAGCAGGTTGTGATTTCAAGAAACCACACCTTGTGCCATTTCTACTTTTCACCCACATATGCTGCTATGTAGTCACCCTGAAAACGACCTGTAGCTTCTAAATATGAACGTATGCCTCAGGTTTTCCCGGGATGCTCTCATTCTACTGATTAAGCATGTGGTCATGTAGCCATGGGTGGTTATCAGGTAGAAGCTCTTACTGTTGCAACAGACCCTGTGGTGCCCTGTTGTCACCCATCTGACTGAGTGGGAGCATATGCTTCAGCCCCATTTTCTCCATGCTTGCTTCTGTTTCATGGTATCTTCCTGTGGGATATGTAACTTTCTGACAGGACATTCTCTGAATTGCTTAGTTCCCTTAAGGTGTCCCTTTTCCAGGACTGAAGACTGCTTTGGATGAACTGTCTTCAGGCCAAAGCTCAAGACCAACAGCAGAGCTTTGTCCAGAAGCCACTCCTCTCCTCCAGAATATTTTTTTTTGTGTTTAGTGAATCATCCCAGAACAACCCCTGAGATCTCCTACACACCAGGACAACCAGAAATGTACATCAATTAACAAACAGTTCACCAATCGTTCTCCCCTCCTCTAGATGAAGACCCGGTGTTGCCTACAAGACCTCACGAGCTGAGGACTCGCATGTACACCCCTCCTGGTCCCCTGTCCAGCGCCCTTCGGGGAGCATTGACTGACCGCTTCTCCGTTGCCCAGCATCACAACTTCCTGAAGGGTTACCAGCTGCATAACAACTACCTGGAGAACGAGCACTTCTGTCGATGGAAAGGTAATGGGAACTAATATTTAACAGGCATAATTTTCAGGTGGTTTTGGGGTAGGGACTTTAGGAAAGAACCGTGTCAGGCTTGGCAGGGGAAAAAAAAAGAATCTCCTGAAAGAACATTTCTTTTCTGAACGGAGAGAAGAGACTAAGACTTCAGTGTGGCCAGATATTTAAGACTGTTTTTACATATACGCATGTGTATTTATGTTCTTTAGCTGAGATCCCTGTGATCAAGACCAAGAGGGTAGGCTTCGCAGCTGACAGAACCGAATTTAAAGCAGCAGAGCAGAGTTAACATGGGAGAAAGCTTAATTTGGCAAGACTGTGCCTCTAACTTCAGAAGCAACTGGAATATCCCAGAAAATATGACCATAAGTCCAGGAGTGGGACTTTGTAGCTGTTGTGGTTTAGCCAACCACACAGCTGCTGTTCGCTCACGCCCCTGCCCACCGGGCTGGGGGAGAGAATCAGGAAAAAGGTAGAACTCATGGGTGGAGATAAAGGCAGTTTAATAGGACCGGGGCGGGGGGAATAATAATAATGACAAAAGAATATACAAAACAAGTGATGCACAGCACAGCTGCTCACCACTTGCTGACGGATGCCCAGTTAGTTCCCGAGCCCCTGCACCTCCCCCATCCAGCTCCCCCAGTTTATATACTGAGCATGACGTCGTGCTCAGTGTATTTTTCGGAACAGGAACGTAAGGTGGCATTTTGCAGCCCCTTCCATGCCTATTCACAAGCCGGTAGCGTGGCAATTAAATTAAACCTGGCCTCTGGGACAGTCAGTTCCACCTTGCATCTCTTTCTTCAGTCAAAATACCTACAGATCGTTTCTTATTCCAAGAACTATTTTCCTTTTAGACACTGTGTTAGACTCGCGTCCCAACCAGCTGATACAAAATCCTGATCACCTGGGCATGATAGATGCTGGATTTTTCATCAATACGAGCAGTCCACCACTTCTAAGGCCACAGAGGGAAGTGGATGTCATCATATATTTAAGTTATACTACTGGATCACACACGTCGGTGAGGAGGATCTCGTTACCATGTGTTGTCTCTCCTTTTGCCTGTAAATGTCTAGCCTGTAGCACCTAGAACTGCTAGTTCTTTCAGCTCTTCAGTTTTTAACTAACTAACTACTGCATTCCCCTCTGTTTTCCACTGTAGTGAATAACATTATTCCCTGTTCCTTCCTGCCACTCCCGGAATCTCTCTTGCTGGTTTATGAACATGTTGAGTTATTCAAGAGGACATAGGCACAGTCTCTTCCAGAATGATGGGAAGAACCTCTTCTGCTTTATGCTGAGTCAAACAGGTTTCCAGACCCTGCACAGGAATATGCATAAAGATGAGGAAGTGACTTCTCCTGACTTAAGTTAGAACATGAAAAGGGTTAAGTTAGTAGCCAGAGGCAGGTCATTTCTGGGCTGACAAATAAGATGCTGCCAGGAAAATTCAGTGACAAGTATCTTCCTGCAGAAACTCCAGTTTCAAGGAGATGAAGTTAATTAGCTGTCTATAAGGCCTTTCAGAAAAGAAGTTTGGGTCTTCTGTATCTCAGAAACCGATGTTAGTTAGAAACTCACTATTAAGCATCTTGGCCCACTTAAGTGGAATAATTTTTTTGTTAATGAGAACAGCTGTGCTACTGTTAATAAGCCATATGATGCATAAGACATGCACATAATAAAGTTTCATTTCAGCCTCATACATTGTCTAGATTAATTTTATGATGAAAGGCTGCTGCCATTTTAAGCACTTTTAAGCACAGTAGAAACTGTTTCCTATTTGATAGTGTCCACTATTAGATGGTGCAGAGTAAATAGCACAGTACATAGTAGGACATGATATTGTATTAAACATTTCAGGTAAAAATACAGTATAGCCTACTAGTTCAGAGTTTCTCAGTAAAATCTCAGTTAACACTGTGCCATAATGCCTGCACAGGCAGAGAATTAATTGCACTTTCAAACTTAACTTTCTTATCTTCTGACTTCCAAGCACTTAATAAGATACCTTAAGCATTTTATTGCTGTGGTTTTCTTTTCTAAGTAAGTCTATACAATAGATTAAACACAGGCTATTTCAAAACTACATGCTTTACCCTAAACTTCTGCAAGTTGCTTCCATTTTTTAAAAAGCAGTGTCCTGGATGAACTCTCTAACTCGGAAATTCTGTTTGCAGCTTGTGATTAACATTCTGGTTACTGTGTGTGGTAATTATGTGTAGAGTAACCCTTGACAAGAAGGAACCCGCCCTATGGATCTGAGCCACTAAACCTTAATACTAGATAACAATTCGGGGGCTTTAAGACAAACAAGTTGAATTCCAATGCTGACCATTTCTATGATACTCCAGTCTCTAGATAAGGCGTGCAAATACTACTCAGAGCAGAAAATCCCATTCCCCAAAATTTCTTTGACTGATGAAGATAAGAAAAATCTGAAGGAGTGCTACCTCTTCCAAGATTCAGATTTGCCGGGATGTCCCATTGTGATTTTTCTTCCGCTTGTGAATGATACCTTCCGAGAATACAAAGCACCCGGTAAGTCACAAGTAGCGGCAAGGCTTTAGGCAAAACACACGACCTGCTCCCCTGACTCAGAGCGCGCCTTTTCCCCTGCTGCTGGCTTGCTTTGCTGGCTGGGTTCATGGGGAGCACTTCAGCTGATTAAACGTGTTTTCCCCATTCCTGCCAAAGCTACTATGTTCATTCCTGTCGTCCTCATGGCCCTAAGAGGACAGACACAGCTCTTGTCTTCTGGATGGTGTTTACCTTCATCTCTCTCCCATTTGTAACATGAAGAGTTATCAGCTAATTGCAGAAGTCTTTTTTTCCCGGGAAAAGTGTAGCACGCTCAGATTATTTTCCCCGGCATGTATTTTCTGCTGTACAGGGATTTCGTCCTACACCTGAGGAGGCGTAATGTCATGTAGGAATGGTGGGGGAGCAAGAACCTGGCCTTCAGGCTGAACTCCTGCAGTGTCAAGATCAGTGCCTCTCCTTTTGGTACAGCATCAGCCCTGGGCTCATTTCGCTCACTGTGCTGTGCTCAGGGCCTGTCATTCTTCTTCTGCCAGGCCACCGGCTTTGTATTCCTCTCCTCCACTGCCAGTTACCGGGATGCATTTGCTTTCCTCCTTGGTAGCAGGGAGGTAAAGCCTAAAATTCTGCTTTCGTGGAATTTGGGAGACACAAGAAATGGAAAGGCAGAGGTGGATCCTGGTGGCAGGCCCCCTGCGACTGCATTCGGGATTGCAGGAACTTTAAGTTTCCACTTATTTCTATTACTTCTTTCTCACTTAAATTCTATTCTGTTACTAGCAACTCCCCTCCCTCAGCCAGCGTTCGCAGAGGTCCCAGCTGCTCAGGGTAAGACCCGCAGTGCACCGGCAGTGCCTTTTGGGGTGCCCTTTCAGGCGGATATCCTTGACTGATCCATGGCTTTAGTAAGACAGATATTTATCAGTAAGCTGCGGGTGACCATTACGATGCCATCCCTCGCTTCTCCCTTCTGCCCTCATCACTTCAGGCGCAGGACGTTCTCCTGACTGGGGTTGGGGATGCGTGACCTGCAGCATTCGTGCATTTAAACCCCATGAATTTTCTTCCAGAGAAAAGCCCCCCTGTTCGGGCTGCCGTGGACAGCTTGTCACTGACTGAGATAAACACCGTGTCACGGCAGCAGCTTCTCTTTCTCTCCAGGTGTCAAGCGCTGCTGCTCAGAGATGGAAGGAGGACAACTTGACTTGACCAGCCGCTTTTCCCCCTACTGCATGTTCTCGGTCAGGTACACTGACGAGAACTACCGACGGCTGCTGAACCTCAGCGAATACAACGTCCTGAACAACTCACAGATGATTATGCAGGCCTTGCAGATAGCGATGCAAAGGAGACGGCAAAACACGTGCTAATCACCTGCCCCGCTGCCCCTACCTTCTCGGAGGAGTCTTCCGTGCTCTAGGACGCAGAAGGGACATAGCTTTTTGAACACTGGCCGTTCTGCACTACAGAAAGAAACTAGCCCAGGTGGCTCGGTGGTTTGTTGTTTGTTTTTTCCATTCCCAAGAAGTGGCCTCTATATAGGCAAAGACGTTGCCTGGGATATTTTTTCATACGTTTTGCGCCCTAAGTTAAGGTTGTCTGTAGAACACTCTTTACCTAAAATCCTTGTTAGATTTTAAAAATAGTGTTATTTTAAGCCTAACTTATTATAATGTATGACACATAGGAAAATAATTTTTTACCACCACAGTGCTACAGTAATACAACCCAGCCAACATACCTACAGGCCGTAAGAAGGGGGTGTAAACTTCTGCTCCCCACAATCCTTCTTTGTGGAACACAAGGTGCGTCCAACTCTGGAAAATGAAGAAGACCTGAGACATGACTGGCAGCTGGCATTGGATCCCTGGGTCAACTCTTTTGCAAGTGTCCTGAAGAGCAGCTGCAGAGGTTGGAAATGTAGGAGGGACAAGTGTGTGCACACAGCCAGCCCCATGAATCGCACCCACCTCCTGGGCTCTCTTCGGCTGTGAATGAATCATACATAGAGGGGAAGGAGCAACTTAGGAGGAAGTGGCGTAAGGTTTTTCATGTAAAAATTTTTTTCAGGTGAAAGGTGTAATTGGGGTACATCAAAATTTCCTGTGAATTTATGTCAGTTTTGATTGTTTTGTGTTGAGACAGTATATAAAAAAGCCAACATTTTATTTTGAAGCTTTCAAAATAAAACACCCTGGAATCTTTTTTCCCAGTTGAGTTACTTCTCATATTAAACCTCCTTTCTTAAATTAAAACGAAAAAGTCCTTGAAATGAAAATATTTTATTTCCACTAGACAATGAAAACTCTGTTGTTTTACTCAATGCAATTTGTTTAAACAGTTTAGGACATAAGCTCATCAACAAAAATGCTTATTTCTTCAGTTCTGCCTGTTGAAAATGTGCAGATAAGCAGGAGTGAGTCAGTAGTCTGCAACAACTAAGACTATCTTAAAACAATCTGAACAGATCCTTCATGGGATCTAGCACAAACCACCAATAACATTTGTTGTGGATTTGCATTTTTAAACTTTCTTCATTTTCCCTTTTATGGAAAGTGTCTTTTCTGACCTGTTGGAAGTGCTGAGGGTGAGCTGTAAAAATTATAAATCCATAACAACCTTTACATTCCAGGAGCAAGTCAAATTGAAAATACACATTTTTATTAATAAGTTTTGTGTCCATTTGTAACAACTGGGAAAATTTTGAACAAATAGTCTATTTAGTCAAAAAAACCTATCAACTAGATGTCATAATCTGGGGCTAAAATAAACCAGGGAAAATGCTTGGGTAAGTTGAAACATTTCATGTTAATATTTTACAAAATGTCTTTGTTTAGAAATACAGCTTCTCTCTAACAGACCACCTACCTCGTCAGCCCAGGGAATCCAACCTGAAAATAACAGTTTTCATTTATAGTCAAATAACATGTTTGGCTTGGTGCAAAATGACACTCTGAGGATTTTCATTTTGGCAAGAAACAATGACAAATTATTTTTACAAATTGGTTCACCATGACTTTTGCCAACAGTTTTGTCATTTACGATGTCAAACCAAACCTTACTTTTTTGTGCAAGTGTAACTTAATGTTGCAAGCCTAAGGATCAGACCATAAATATTAACATTTGAAACTCTTTAGGTTTTGAAGGAATATGCATTTCTGCTGGGTTTTTTGGTCTATGGTATTTCCACTAGACAGAAATACGGTGCTGTGACGTGCTCTGCATATAACCCTGGGAATTGCCTCCACTGGAACCTGAAATCCCTGGTGTGAAAAAAGAAACACAGTTTTTGTCTATAAGCTCATGCCACCTCCAGCTCTGAAGAAATGTTATTTACATGCAAATATTTCATGTATCCAATACTGGACAATAAAGGCTTGTTTGCAAAATGAAAATTCTGCCTTGCTCCACATATTCAGGCATTTCAGTAACATGCTCCAGGTTCACAGCGTGTCCCTTGTTCCCGGAAAACAAAACTGTTGTTATCTCTGCAAAGAGCGTAAGAGCATACCAAATATTTGCTGTGAGCATAGTGGATAAAGGAATGTCTCAGAGACAGATTGCAGGGGTACAAAGCGAGCCACGGTCTCTCCCTCCCGCAAGGGATGTCTCTAACGTGGGTTGCAAATGCCATCTGTGAAAACGAGAGCTTTTTGGCCACTGGCACCGTGGGAGTAACAGCCTCAGAGCCCCAGTCCTGGTGGACCAGCCCTGGTCTGGTTTATAGCTTAGCCCTCCAAGGAGATTTCGTAATAAACCACTGCCTTTAACTACGACTGAAAGCAGCCAATGTTGCCAAGGGTTTTCTGTGACCTGACGAAAAATACATTTCATCAAGCTACATCATTGCAGCTGGCACACGGAGGAAACGTGCAATGTGTATAGACACAAGCCTTCACGGCGTTGTGAAATAACATAGCCTATGGCAAAAATTTATTCTACCAAGTCGACCCTGATAACTGCTGATGTCATTTCGCATGGGAACGCGCAAAGGGGAGCTGTGCTGGCTGGTAGCAGCATTTAACCAGTAAGCTCCAGAACGCCCAGGGAACGGGAAACGTTTTGCTCCCAGACAATGTACTGGGAGGGCAGGGAAGCCAAAGGATTCCCTTCCCCCAGAGATTTTGATCTGTTACGAACGGCTGAAGGTACAACAGTCTTTGGTTTTGATGGCACAGGGGCGAGCTGGGTGCCCACGGGGGCAGGCGCGGGTGTCCTGCCGCGGCTGTGCCGAGCGCGGGTGTGCCGAGCGCG